AAATAGGCCCAAACGTGAGAAAACTATTATCTGATATTGCACATGGCCTGTACTTCTTACTAAATACATTTTAATCCCTTGGAATCAATTTGCTATTAATGAGCGTTAATCATCATAAATAACCCAAGTTCTCACATCTAAACATTCATTGCTTAAATGCTACACTTCAAATCTCATTTAACCTTAACTTTCATGTTAGTTTGCCATTTTCAGAAAAAAAAAATCCAGCCTTGGATTGTGGATGTCACGACTCTCAAACTAATGGAATTATGATTCTTTTTCACACAATATGACTATTTTTTGAACTTTTATGTGTATCTGCATCCTGAATTTTTAAATCTTTTGTGTAACCAAAGTAAAATTTAACTATTTTTCTTTATATTTGTAAGTATGTGAACATGGTATTGTACTCAACAACCAAAATAAACAATTAGACATTCAACCATTTCACATTTAATAAGGCATCATGCTTCATTACAAAAAAATTAAACTATTGCAAAATTGTCAATAAAGTAGATTAACTAGCAACAAAATTAAAAAATGTCAATAAAATAGATCAAATAGCAACAAAATAAATAACAAAATCAGTATACATTTCTGAGTAACATCTTCATGTTCATTTGGATCAACATTTTCCTAACAATCAATGATTCATGATTTGTCTTCATCTTGTACATGTTTATCTCATTTCCAATATTGGAAGTTTGAGTTCCAAAGGACCTGCTTCCATTTCATCTTTCTTCTTCTTCTTTGTTGGTTTATTTTCAACCAATTCCCAATAATGACATTTTTTCTTTGGATTTTTCATTGATAAAAAAATTTATATGATGAAAGAATTAGTTCATGATGAAAAACCCACTTACCAAGAGTTAAGGCAAACCCTAAACCTTCTGTCATGGTTATCCTTCATCCATGATGTCCAAATTCGAGAAGGGAAGCCATAATGACAAGGGTATCCATCTTCCAGTGGTGTATTTGACTTGGAGATGTATGAGTTGGAGTTGGAGAGGGTTGAGGAAGTTGACGATCGATTTTGATATCTTGCTTCTAACTTCTGTTATTTTTTAACAATGTTTTGCCCTAAATGACATATTTGAGTTGACAAGGTTAAAGGATGTTGATGGGATGTTCACCTCATCAAATATATGCAACATCAACATTCTATTGGAGTTAATCCTAAAATAACAAAATTTACAGGAACATTTTGCAAGAATGAAAGGAATAAGTCCAACCGACACAACCCTTATAACCATTATAATTCTTCATAAATAACTGACACATTGTTCAATAATGGCACTTAGGATAAACTAACTAAATTACCTAGAACTAATTGTCATAACTGCCTTTTATAATTTCCAAATTAACATAAGTCTAGCTTACATATCAACATTCCGCTAATCTAGACTTCAAACACTTCAAGTTTTGTATTCAAGTTCTTGAAATCATCAAAACCATTCAAAGTAAACCAATTCATCATGATTCAAACTTTCAGTTCTTGCATAAACATCGCTTATACACCTCTATAATAGTATTGATGCTCCATCCTTAATTGAAAGAACATTCACATGCTTTATTCTCGAAGAATAACACATCTTTACTAAACCTAATGAATATGTATATTTTTGACTTTTCATCTAACTTCCCGCTTAACATCAAGTTCTCTTTCGCGTGTGTTTCTTCATCGGTTACCCTTTTGGTTAATGGTCGATTTTGTTCCCCTTTTATTTAAATATATGAATCCTTTAAATAATAGTAGTACTTAAACTCATCACGATCTTTATAGGTCTCATTATAGAATCCTCAAAGTCATCATTTTGTTTGTTAGGTTTCATTACAATACCCTCACACGCATCATTATATTTATACCGACTTTATTACAAAACCCTCAAAATTATCATTATCACTATTCATAATCTTTTCATCTAGATCTATAAATACACAAACTCCAACATCATAAACAACTTCAAATTTACCAAGACCTTTTAAACTTGGTCACCGGTCCATACTTTACTATGGAGAGTATCATCCATAGTTAAAGCCATCAACCAATCTAGAACCATGCCATCAACCCTCTTGAACCATGAACCTTAGCTCTGATATCACTTTGTCAGAGTTAATACTAAAATAGCAAAACTTGTAGGAACATTTGTAAGAACGAATGGAAGAAGAACGATATTGTTTTCACTAAGAACCAACGATCTTTGATTATTAACTTCATGAATTTTACAAATTACATACATACATATATAGACATAATTCCAACACTGGCGGATCCACATAGGTGTCTGGGGTAGCACGGGGTACCCCTCAAATTTCGTCTAGAAGGCTAAATTTTTTTATATTCTGCGGTGCTACCTTAGTAAAAAAGATATGGGCTACCCTATATTATAAATCCAACTCTTTTAAAAAAGTCCAAAAAGTTTAAGCCCAATATTTTAATTAAATAAGAGAATAAGAGAGGGAAGATGTGAACTTTAAAATGTTTTAAAATGTAGCATTGTTATGTTTAATAAAAGGGATAATGACTTCATAGGTAAGATACTTTTTGAAATATACACATTTAGTCCTTATTCTTTTTTTTTTGTAAAATAAACCCTTATACTTTATTTTTTGTAACAATGCAATCCTTGTGACCGGCTATACCCGGTATACCGGTCATATACGAATTTTCTTTTAGGGAAAATGACTTGATAGGGTAAGATACTTTTTGAATTGTACACATTTAGTCCTTATTCTTTTTTTTGTAAAATAAACTCTTATACTTTATTAATATGTACATATTAGGTCCTTTTCACCGGATTCTACAGGTTTTGCTGATGTGGAAGCACAAGTAGCACTAAATAGCAATTAATTAGCTTAGTCACCGGAGGTGGGTGATCCTCCAGCAACAAGAAAAGGGCGGCGACCCTTCTCTTTCTCGTCTCTCTTCCTCCCGGTCGAACAGCAACAGCCAAACACCCTTTACCTGTTGTGTTTCTCCGATCTGTCTCTCTTTGCCTCCATCTTTGAGATATGTTGCCAGAAAAAGAAGAAAGAATCGACGAGGGGGCTACCAGAGCAGCTCCTCGCCGCCAACTATCGTCTCTACTTCCTCCTGCCTCCCCCTTCGACCTTGTTGTTTTTGCCATCATTCCTCCTTGCTACCAGTGATGTGTAGGAACACACAAAGGAATCGCCGGAGATCGGGGTTCTCCCTCTTTTTTATTAGGAATAAAAGTTGGAAAAATCTCGTTGTGGATATGTGGATGTCACCTGGGTATTTCATTTCAACAAAATAAAAGAAAGGGAAAATGACTTGATAGAGTAAGATACTTTTTGAAATGTACACATTTAGTCATTATTCTTTTTTTTTTTTGTAAAATAAACCCTTCCACGTCAGCAAAACCTGTAGAATCCGGTGAAAAGGACCTAATGTGTACATATTAATAAAGTATAAGGGTTTATTTTACAAAAAAAAAGAATAAGGACTAAATGTGTACATTTCAAAAAGTATCTTACCCTATCAAGTCATTATCCCTTAATAAAATTGTGGTTTTTTTTTAGTATTGTATATTATGCGATTTTGTTTGTGCTACTGCCTCCTCCACTAAATTCCACCTGACACAATTTTTCTGACAGTTGCAACATTTATAAATAACCAACATGAAGAATGTCGGTTGGATATAACTAACCAAGCTACAAAGAATTAACTGTTATCACTACCAACCTATAATTATCTTGTATAATTATCAAATTACCTAAGTCGAGCTTAGATTTCAACACATTCAACCTGTAAATGACGATAACAATAGTATCTTTTGAACAAATTATATAAGGTTAATAGTAAAATTTATACGGAAAAAGATTATATATGTTAATTAAATATGTTAATCTCCCGAGTCATTATCCCTCCCTTTTAGACATATGAAAACGGATGGAATGGAACCATCCCACAAAGGCACAAACTACTACTCCATTTTAATGCATCTTTTTTCTCTCCTACAATAGGCATAGGGTCCAGTCCTTACATGTAAAACTTTGATGTGTTTCATAAAAAAAATTAATAACATTAGTTAGACAGTATATAACACAATGGTAAAAACGAAAAAACGGAAATAACATACAGGATATACTTGACAATGAAATAAACTTCTTAATCTGAAACAGATTTATAGATGTCACGATAAAAAAACGGAAATAACATAGATAAAGAAAAAAAAGTTGCATATTAAATTTTTTGTAATGTATAGTTTTAAATTTCATTTTGAGTTGTGAGATTCTCATTTAAGATTTTAAATCTAAAATATAGCATAGCATTTTGAAAAAAAAATGGGAAAGGGACCCAAATAAAATAAAATAACCATTTTTAATATTTATCAAAAAATAATCACCAACTCCAATTTAGATTGCAAAAATATTTTTTGGATGGTTGACTGGTTGTTTCCACCATAAAAAAACCCAAATCCGAAAAATAAAAATATCAATAAATGACTAAAATATTATACAACATCCTGATATATTACAAAAATATGAAAATATACATTCATATACTATTAAGTAATACATTTATAAATTACAAAAAAAGTCATAAATAATTATCATGATTAAAAAGCAATTTTGCAATTGATGTGTGTCTGTGTATGAATCCCGGAGGACCGTTTTGATCGTATTTTCGGTGACAACGACGTAAATAATAACTTTCGTTGCTCATTACGTGTCATTCGTTCTCCCTCCGTAGTCGTTATGACACCGTTTTTGTCAGAAGTTTGTTACTTTAACAAGCATACGATCACCGCCACCGCCACCGGCCATACTTTCCTGTCATTCTCCGGTTGCTGATCCGGTAAACTCCGATCCGTTTAACTTTACTTTACTCAATAGATTGTATAGTAATCTGATTTTTGAAATCGATCGTTTCCTGGTATAATGCAATAAGCTAATTGCATATTTGTTTGATTTCAATTTATGCTTGATTTGTTGGATCTTCCTGTGATGCTTTGATCGAATTGAACGTAATTTTAATGGCAGGATCGACGACAGGCACGATGAGTCAGGTATTCGAAGGATATGAGCGTCAATACTGCGAGATTTCAGCCAATTTATCACATATATGTGCGTCGGCCAGTGTTCTTGATGGAGGTGAGTGAGTTAATTAATGGCCTTTTTCCGTAATTACATATCTGCCGATATTTATTGTTCATGATTACATAATTGAACTCTTCAACTATTTGCAACGAGCCATGTATGATTAATGATACTCTTTCTGTAACCAAAATGTTAATGTAAAATTGAATTTACAAAATCGATTGGAAAGATTTAATTATGATTATGAGTACCAAAAGTTGGGTATTGTAGGTATGGCAATATATAGGTGCAAGGAAATGGATTCTCTTATCTACTGGATATCGATCTTTTTGGGTATAAGGAAACTCTGGAATAGTTGCAGGTTTGTGCAGCATGGTAGGGATGGTTTTATTTGGGTGATATGATATGGTTAGGGTTTGATATGTTCTGTTGTAGAAGGTTGAATAGGCAAAAGCATGTAGGAAGTTGATTTTCATACTTTTAAGTTTTAATAATATTTTATGGTTTTAGTGTCACATGCATGCAATTAGTATAATTGGAATTAACACAGTGCTAAATAGGATTTAAACTACGATATGGTACAAGTTAGGAGGTGTGGAAAATTTCGTCAATGGTATTCAAAATATTTCTAGTGTTATTATTCGAGCTCAAAGAAAATGCGAAGGTTCATATTTACATATTTTTTTTGTGGTTTTGGTTGAACTGTAAAATTGTCCGCTTTATCTTGTTGTAACATCTCAAAAGAACGTTTTGCAATAGATTTTGTGAAAATTCTCATCTCTGTGTAACCATTTTTGCATGTGTTCATCTTTTGTCAAACTGTCTTTCAAATGCTTAATATATTATTTACTGCATTCAGAGCAGAAGAAACAGAGGGTTTCAGAAATAGCAGGAGGAATAGAAGAGGCCGACACTCTGGTATCCTTCCTGCATATTCAACCTTCTTCTTCTATAGCCTTTTTTTACATCAACTTCTGCTCTAATGTAAAATATCCATTCAAAGTTACGCAAAATGGACCTTGAAGCAAGGAGCACACCAGCTGGCACCAAGGCATCGCTTCTTGCCAAGATTCGTGAATACAAAAACGACCTCAACAGCCTCAAAACTGAATTGAAAAGACTCCAGCCCAGCAACCCTAATGCTAATGCTGCTCGAGGTGAGCTACTTGAATCAGGAAGACCAGATGCAATGCAGGTAGCTATCCTTCAAACAACAACCTCTGAGCTGGCACATTATTGTATGTATACAATTTATATGTTAATGGAGCTAATTATGGACAGGTGTCAGCTGATCAGAGAGGAAGACTGATGATGTCAACTGAGAGGTTAAACAAGTCAACCGACAGAGTCAAGGAAAGTAGAAGAACAATGATGGACACCGAAGAGCTCGGTGTTTCAATCCTCCATGACTTACACCAGCAACGCCAGTCTCTCCTCCATGCAAACACCACGGTATGTTTCTTTCACTTTCTTTTTCATGCTACAAAAAAAAAAATTAAAAACTTCAAATTCTTGTTTTGCAAATTGCAGCTCCATGGGGTGGATGATACTATTGGAAGGAGCAAGAAACTTCTGACAAATATGTCAAGGAGAATGAACAGGAACAAATGGATCCTAGCTTCCATTGTTACAATCCTAGTTCTTGCAGTCATTCTCATCCTTTACTCCAAGCTCACTTGTTAGCTCTCACAATCTCATATAACATTTAAACATTTTTTTTTCAATAACAAAACTATCATGTCACATTCCTTTGATAAATTCTTTACAAACAGGTACAAGAAAGTTGTCATTTATACTTGACAAAAATTACACGACTGTCATTTTTCAGTTTAGATACTTGAAAAAAGGCAAAACAGTCGTCCAAAAATATATGATTAGAAAATACTGGCAAAATAGGTAACAAATTTTCAGTTATGGAAAACTGAAAAATTGTTTTCAGGAGATGAATCTCTACCCTCTTCTTCTTCATCATCAATATCATTATCATCATCTTCATCATCAAAATCAGTAGAAGTAGGTTGGCCATTAAGATCGACATTAATCCCATTAATCTTCCTCACAAACTGCCCTCTTACACGTGGTCGCCTCTCTGCTAACTTTTTCCTATTCACATATCTGATTTTCTTATCAAAGCAACGTTCTTTTCTCTTCTGTCTAAACTTCATCAGGGCCGCTTCTCTATGGTCAAGTTTATTATTATGTACCTTTACATTATTCGATGGACTCCCGTATCCCATCCATGGCTGCTGCATTCCCCCGGGCAGGCAAAGGTTAACCGGGTAGTAAGGGAATGATCCCATTCCCATTCCCATTCCGGGCAGATGGGGGGGTGGCGGGCAATGCATAGCATGATTGTAATGGTTCGGTAAATTCATCGGGCCCGGAAGGTAATACGGATAAGGGGAATACGCGTTATAACCCGAAACATCCGGATGTTGATAGTTGCTGCCCGGTTGGTGGATTTGTGCCTCGGGCAGATCAAATGTCCTTGAGTTCATTGGGTCGGAGGGACCCGAGATTAAATCATGATGCCCTTGAGTATCGCTAACGTTGACCGGGGTTAGTTTGTTGTCTAATTGTGGAGGAATGGGTTCATTGATTGTTATGGAACTTCTACATGTGTTTGATTTGACATATGTAAAGAAGGCGGATGATTGACCGATTCTGAGTTCGCTCTTTTTTGGACCGAATGTAACTTTCCCTGAATATAAAGCTTACAAGATATGTTAAATCATGGAAATATTTAAAAAACTAAAATTAAATAGAATTTGGATTGAGAGATGTTAACAACCTCGGTGTTGTTCGTTAATTTCCGGGACATTAGGGGGGTTGTCTGATAAGTTGAATGGTTGTGTGTTGAAAAAACTAGGAGGAGGTGTTATCATGTTATTCTGAAAAAGAATTAAGAGTTAGTTAATAGCAATTTAGTAGCTGAGTAATTCCAATTCCAGTGAACAAGATTCTGACCTCGGATTCCGGAGGAATGGAAAGAGAGATCTCTGGATTGGAGTTCTTGTGTGACTTGTCGTCTGTGTCATCTGAAAACAGAGTGGTGCTGTTTGTATTTGCATCACTAGGATCTGAAGCCACTATGTCGAATTCACAGTTCATGATGTTCTTCTCAGCCAGCCCAAGCTGTAGATAAGTAGAGATTTAAAGAGACAAATAAGCAAAACAGATTATGATTTTTCATATTCATATTCCTTTTATAGATTCTGTTCTTTTCAAAAAGAATCTTTGAACACCTATAATCTGTCACATGTTTGGTTGAAAACTAAAACAAATTATAACTTTATTGATGTTTAAATATATTTTTTGTTTATTGTAGAAAACATGTAACTAAATTTCTGTTTTTATTTATTGCTCAATATTATATATATATATATATATATATATATATATATATATATATATATAACAAGGGTGTTTTGGTCTTTAAACTAAAAGCGGAAGAACGGAATTGAATTCCTTGCAACCTCCATCAAATATGGAAGTTGGAAGGATTTCAACGGGCTTGAATTTGGTGAACTAGGTAACCAAACAAGCCATGAAATGGAATGGAATCTTGGATTCCAATTCTATCCGATTCCTTCAGAATCAAGAAACCAAACATATGTCCTTGGATTGAAGGAAATACCATTCGTCGTCTCCTCCACATGTGGGTCCACAAATTCAAGAGCTCATTTGTGCGCAAGGGCTTCACAAGATAATCAGCTGCACCAAGCCTCAAGCATTTCACAACAAGAGCAACCTCATCCTGAGCAGACATCACTGCAAAAAATGACAAATTGAGAACAAGAAAAAGATGAAATTTATAATTCATAATAAATAAATAAATAAAATGTCAACAGACTTACTGATGACAGGAATTCGTCGCAGAGCATTGTCTCTCATGATGTGTTTCAACATCTTGAAGCCTTTGGGCATGGGAAGATCAACTTCAGAAAGAATAATATCAATGTCGGGTCCCTCGGCATTCAGGGCGTCAATCACTTGCCTGGGTGATCTTACTGAAGTCACTGTAAAACACCAATCATACTTGCCATGATTATGTATCCTATGTCACTCATATTCGTTACATCATTGTAATTCATCCTATATCTATTCAAAATCAGAGGTTTTCATCTCTATAGTTGCTGAAATGTACAGCAATGGAAGACGTAAAAGCCTTTTCAAGTCCCCACCACCACATGAAACATATGACCATACTATGGGGATATTTGCATTTGGTTCCCAGAATATTTTGCAAAGAATTAAAACCTGTCAATGGACTTGGAATTTGAAAGGATTGGAATCCGGAGGAATTGAAGTCTGTCAAACGTATTGAAATGGAATTTGTGAGTATGTTTGAGGGAAAGAAGATGGAGATGCTGGAGGCATTTACTTGTGAAAATGTAGGGTTGAGAGGGTATTTGAGTACTTCCAACAGGGAGGAAATGCTAGGAAATGAATTCCGTGGGTTTTAGGATGGAATGTTAGAATCCATCTGTCAGTCAAAGTATTTGTGAGTTCCAATGGAATTCAATTCTGTAGTCTTTTGCAACCAAAGAGGGGTTTGGAATGGAATCAAATTCCATTTTTGACCATATAAGAGTTAAGTGACTAAATCAATAAAATGGAGAAAGTATAATGTGCTTTTCTGTATTTTGCCAAAACTAAAAAGTATAAGAAGACAACTTTTCTAGTAATATTTTTTAGGCTAACTTTTCATCTCACACTAAAGATCAATGACATGTCCTGCAAGACGGCTGAAACAGAGATACAATACCATTACAATACTCTTCTTTCAAGATCATACAGAATTGGTCAAGAAGTTTTAATCAAAACCAAAAACATATAGAATCATCACTACCCACAAATTTTGCATAAGCTTTATTCGTTGGTGATCATTGAATATTATCACAATGTATAATCAGATCAAACTGACAAAAGTGAGCTCGTAAAAATCTACCAAGAATAATCAAAACATTGCATTATCGAACAAAGCACTTATTAATCAGGAATCTCAATGGATAATTAGATCAAACTCAATCATATTAAAATCATAAAGATTAACATAGAATAATCACATCATTCAGTTATCAATAAAGACACTTATTAATCAAGAACCTCGATGGATAATTAGATCAAAGTGATCATAGAGTAACCACATCAATCATTATCAATCAAATCACTTATTAATCAAGAGTAATGAGAAGGTAAAGAGATTATGCTTATTATACCTTGATAGGAGCATTTACAAAGAAGTTTAAAAACCTCTTCAGAGCTCTTCGTATCATTGTCACATAGTAGAATTCTCACTTTACTTCGATCAATAAAACCATCCCCTGTTGTCCCATTAGTATTTCCTCCACCGCCACCTCTGCTCAACATAATTTCATTTGGATCCATCTTCCACATCAATCAAATCAACTCGTCTATACTCTATACTTTCAAAAAAAAAAATCACCAAAACACCCTCAATCCTACTACTAACACAGAGCCAACATTAGAGAACTTCCATCAAAGCACGATTTTAGATAGTAATTATATACAAAGGATCTAGGATTAGGGTTTCTGATTCTACGAACTCCATACAGAACAAATCAGTAGAGTTTTCAGAACATAAAAACGAAAAACAAACACAAAGGCTTACAGTTTCAATATCATAACAACACAACACACTTCAAACGGAAACGGAGAAATCAATCACACTTGATGATCGGAAAACTCAACTGAACCAAAAACGGAAAGTTCGATACGATCCATAACAAATCAAATTCATCTACTCAACTTGAACCTTCGGCTCCCGTCGATCGAACATATTCCGTCACTGCCAGTAATTCGAGGGGCGAGTGTGTGAGGAAACGAAGTCGTCTGCTTCATTTGTTATGTTGGTAAAAATCTGTTGCTTTTTTTGTGGCCGCTGATACTAATATGCGCTGGGGAATGGAAGTTTAATCTGGGCCGTTGGCTGTGGAGCGTACGTTAGAAGAAGGGCAGACGTGGAGGAAAAAGTGCAAAAAAAGCGCGTGAGACTTTGAGAAGATAAAGAATTAGGGATAGAGAGTAGGCCACGTCACCAAAAGGTCTCTCCGAAAGAGGAAAGGCCGTAGATATTTTGAGAATAAGATATGTATCTGAGAGGATACGTGGGCAGGCCCACACTTTGGCCCATATGGAAAAAAACAACAAAATATCTTCATTAATCATTCTTCGACCCCATCAATTGAAGAAATGGTGAATCAAATTCTGAAGTGCTTTCTCAACCTAAAGTTCGAATCGTCCAATCTTCCAAGAAAATATAATAAGAACCACAATTTTATAGAATAAATTAATCAAGATAATTAGACCATTGTTGTTAAAGTTCTTTTAATGATAAAGAAATTATAAAATCGAAAGTCTATAGGAAGAATTGAAAGATGGGAAAACCGCCACTTTTTAGTAATTTTTTTTACAGAAATAACCACTTTAAAAATATATATTTTTTTTTTTTTGAAAAATGACATTTCGGTCCGAATGCTTATCCTGGACCCAAATTCCGAAATGATAAACGGACAAATGATCCGACCTGAAAATGTGGTCTCCTATAAATAACATGTCGGACCCCAAGTTCAACACACTGTTTCAGATTTCATTTCAAGGACGATCACTTTTCCGGACTACATCAAATTCAAATAATGTCTTCTTCTACCAGTAAATAGATTCATTTTGTACAGGTATGTGTCGAATCTTTTTGTAGTTATATGTTTTTATTTATGAATATATGTTATGAATTGATGTGATTACATAGCTATACATCGTTTTCCTTCGAATTTTAGTTATTGTTAGGTTTGTATGATTATATAGTTTTGAAATTGTCCGGAACAACTCCGGAATACGAAGAACATCTCTGAAATGCGAAGAGCATTTCCGGAATACGTAGAACTGTTTCGGAATGGTGTTTCAGAATGTTGTCCGTAACACAACCATAGTCCGAAATGTTGTCATTTCAATCTGGAACATCCAGCAAATGCGTAATTAAAATTCTTTCCTTGTAGCATGACAAAACATATGAAGCGGTTGTCACTACAACCTATAAACCTGAACTTGGTCAGTAAATCATGGCCCGTTTACACACACCAGAACGTGCTGCCACGTTTAGGGCATCCTGTTTTAGTGCTTATGTGAACATGTCAATGGATGTAGAATGTCACCCTTTACTTTCTCACTACTTTATGTGCAAGGAAGCTACTACTTATCCTCGGGTTGACCTTTAGAAATTTCTATTTCTGATACATGACTACCGGGTTTGCTTTGACAAGAGAGATTTATGTCTTGTTACCAACTTACGGTTCGAGGAGTATTCCCGGGCTACTTCTTCTTTGATACAATTTAGAATAAATTAATCAAGATAATTAGACCATTGTTGTTAAAGTTCTTTTAATGATAAAGAAATTATAAAATCGAAAGTCTATAGGAAGAATTGAAAGATGGGAAAACTGCCACTTTTTAGTAATTTTTTTTACAGAAATAACCACTTTAAAAATATATATATTTTTTTTTTGAAAAATGACATTTCGGTCCGAATGCTTATCCTGGACCCAAATTCCGAAATGATAAACGGACAAATGATCCGACCTGAAAATGTGGTCTCCTATAAATAACATGTCGGACCCCAAGTTCAACACACTGTTTCAGATTTCATTTCAAGGACGATCACTTTTCCGGACTACATCAAATTCAAATAATGTCTTCTTCTACCAGTAAATAGATTCATTTTGTGCAGGTATGTGTCGAATCTTTTTGTAGTTATATGTTTTTATTTATGAATATATGTTAAAAATAAGATATTTTCGTTTTTTATGAATTGATGTGATTACATAGCTATACATCGTTTTCCTTCGAATTTTAGTTATTGTTAGGTTTGTATGATTATATAGTTTTGAAATTGTCCGGAACAACTCCGGAATACGAAGAACATCTCTGAAATGCGAAGAGCATTTCCGGAATACGTAGAACTGTTTCGGAATGGTGTTTCAGAATGTTGTCCGTAACACAACCATAGTCCGAAATGTTGTCATTTCAATCTGGAACATCCAGCAAATGCGTAATTAAAATTCTTTCCTTGTAGCATGACAAAACATATGAAGCGGTTGTCACTACAACCTATAAACCTGAACTTGGTCAGTAAATCATGGCCCGTTTACACACACCAGAACGTGCTGCCACGTTTAGGGCATCCTGTTTTAGTGCTTATGTGAACATGTCAATGGATATAGAATGTCACCCTTTACTTTCTCACTACTTTATGTGCAAGGAAGCTACTACTTATCCTCGGGTTGACCTTTAGAAATTTCTATTTCTGATACATGACTACCGGGTTTGCTTTGACAAGAGAGATTTCTGTCTTGTTACCAACTTACGGTTCGAGGAGTATTCCCGGGCTACTTCTTCTTTGATACAATTTAGACATTGTGTATTTCTGATTGTCTTGCTTTCAGAGTCGGTGAAAGTTGTTGACATTATGCAGGTGTTCAAAAATCCACTTCATCTATTATCAGATACATACGCTATGCGAGTCTCCCTATTGTATATGTTAGAACATGGATTTTATAAAAGTTGCCCTCAAAAGCAGTTTAGGATGAATATCTTCCACTTCATCTATTATCAGATACATACGCTATGCGAGTCTCCCTATTGTATATGTTAGAACATGGATTTTATAAAAGTTGCCCTCAAAAGCAGTTTAGGATGAATATCTTGCACTCATCTCTGATTTGGACGAGTTTAACATGTATAAAGAGTTTTTTATATTATATCAAATGGTTCTCTTCTTTTAATTTATAGTTATTAAATGCAATTGTGTGACATGGATACCCTTGGGCAGTTACATACCCCATGATGAGGTGTTTACTAGTTGATGATTGTGGGTGTATGAGAGAATAAGATATCATTAACCTTTATATATATATATATATATATATATATATATATATATATATATATATGTATATATATTGTTTTATGTAGTTTTCCCCTAACGAGGTGTTGCAGCCTACTCCACAGGAGTGTGCTGCTTTGTGGTGGTTTGAGAGTTTCCCATGTATAGAGACTGTAAATTACCCTGACATTTGAGTTGTGGTGTTTGTGTATGTTTTAAATAATTTCCATATGATGATGTAGCAAAAATAAGTTTAGCTGAACGAACAACAAAATTTTATTGAAATTTCTAAATTGGTACAAACGTGACTACGGGTAATTTAGATCAACAATATCATACTCTTGACTACTTATTTGACTAAATTTAACATTAGATATACTCTAAGACTTACCCTACGTTTTGACACTTGACTTTATCCTAGTTGAAGATTCAGTTTTTGTTGAATCTGCGGAAAAACTTAGCGTCACAATTTATGCTTGTGTGACTGATCCTTTGACAACGAATGCATTTTTTCTAAATCAGACCTTCACGTTGGGATCAGATATGTTTATGGTTTCGTGGACGTTCGACTTGTCGTTTGTCCACCAACGGTGGTAATACAACCATGACTTGATCTAATTGTTCATATTCAGTTGGAACTGACACATGAAACACAACCTCAATATATATTGTTCGATATGTTTCCATGGTGAAGTACGGTGACACCCATCCGTTGCAATGTTGATATGTCAGTTCCTTGAATACCGTCATAGCATGATAACAGGGTGTACCAGATAATTGTCATTTCCCACATGTATAAAACCGAGATTCCAAGTTCACTATACCATTTTTCATTTGCTTTGTTACTTCATATCTGCTTGGATCAATCTGGTATACCCAAAAACTGGAGGATTTGTTGATCCTTCTTTCGATAACCTTCTCAGCTTACCTAGTAACATGTTTTTCACTTTGATCTATAAATAATAGAAACATATTGTCATGCATAGTAAATTATGGTAAAATAATTTGAAATTACTATAATTTATAGGGAGAATTTCGTATACGCCCTTCTTAAACATCGAAATATCGTATTTGCCCAACATAATTTCTAAATATCATATTTATCCTTTATAAGCTTTTAAAATATTAAATTTGTCCAAACCTTATTTTTAACATTTATTAAACATTTTATAATCATTTTAATATTTTAAAATTATTATAATTAAAAAATAAAATTAAAAAGACAATATTGTCCCTAAATCATATAAAATCATCTTTCTCGTATCGTAATCACAAACGAGGTTTCACAAATCAGGTCGAGCTATGGGTTCGTGATGCTTTTTGGACTCCGTGTGGAAACTATGGAATATGGAAGATGAATGTTTAGAGAGATGTGGTTGGCTTGGGCTTAAGTAAATTCTTATTTTTGGGGCTCTTCAAAATGATTGTTCTTCACTAAAAGCAGTATTGAATGTTCAGACTTGTGGTTTCTTGATGCTTTCTGGAATTCGTGGTTACTTGGTTATTGTTGGCTTGTCAACGACTTTTGTGTCGTTCAAATTGTTGCTAATACAATCTTTTTCAAGCTCAATCATCATTCAAATTGTAGTTGTCAAGCTGCATTAATTGAGCTTTGATGCACTCATTCATGTCGTTTTCATGATGTGATGCTGGTATTCCTGGTGCTTACTACATATTCTGATTTTTCTTCGGTTGAGCCCTAGCGCTGCTCTTCCAAGGTCAAGCATTCCCTGTATATTTTGGTGTA